GGACCAACTTTTGTGCAAGCAGCCCAAACAAGGGCGAGACTATCCAGATTCCTGACTGAAGGAGTGATGGACTCTCACTTCTTCAGTCTGGCCAAAGCAAGAGCACAAATAACCATGATTGAGGCTTTTTATTAACCGACTGTCATCCTCCTCCACGATGATAACAAAATGACGGTCCTCCATCTTGTGTCTGTTTCGGTACCCCACAGCCTCGTCGACACGATCTGTGATGGGGGACATGGATTCGTAATAATACACGGTCTCGCCGCCTGCCAGTTTCGTGGAATGGTAACATTGGAATATCATTGGCTCGCACCGCATGGTCGCTTGTTTCGTACAGCGTCTGGATACTGCTACAATTCATAGAACGCAGCACCGTAAGTTATGAACCAATGAATCGAACAATGAAAGACGCAAACATTATTTTCAACATGTACCGTACAGAAAGGGGGGACGTTCTTTATACATACACATGGGAGGACCGGGTAGTCGTGGTCCCGAACATAGTTGCATGCTAAGAAGTTTTTCGATGTTGTTGTCGAGCCCATCGATTGCTGCATTGGTCTTTGCCGTGCTTCTACCGACACAATGCACCTGTTGAGGACTCATGCAACGGAAACATTTCCCATAATTAAATAATAATTCTTTAGTAAAATTACAATCTAAATTTTAAATTTTCATTTCATCTTAAAAAATGTCATTCCAATTTTAAAATTTATCATCTTACTTTCAAACTTTCATTCCAAGAATAGGGTACCCCTTCTTATTTGGACTGCATGCTAGAGATGGAATGAAAGTCTGGATGAGTTCATGAAATATTTTAATTGGACTGTCATTCTAAGTAAGGATTTTCAGTCATAAATAGGTTTATCCAATCTAAATTAGAAGATATTTGTTGGAGTAGAATAAAAATTTAATTAAAATATTTTGTAAACTCGTTCTGACTTTCATTCCATCTTGAACAAATAGATGTAGTTGGAAGGGAAAGCTCATATTTAGACGGGAACTTATCAAATAAAACTGTAAATTTAAAAATTGGACGAACATTGGAATGATAATTTATAAATATGAAGGATTTTTTTTTTTATGGAATGTTTTTCAACTTTCATTTCTCGTGGGAATTTTTCTGTTGTGGGTAGATCGGTTGACGACTATCGTGTTTGGTTCACCTACGGTTTCAGATTGGGCGCGGCGTCTTCTTCGTCACGATGATTGTGACGTGGGAGGCGGACCGGGGTCGTCGCCGCCTCTGTTGCCCCATGATCTATTCATGCGGGGCGGGGATGCGCCTGTTGGGGTCAGAGACGATATCAACTCAGGTGCCGAGACTGGTGCCATGAGGGACAATGCCGTTTTTATTGTGGACCGTGACTTCGACGATGTGGGAGTTGAGGGTGATGAGTTGGAGCAGGCATTGATCTCTGACCCGGGGGATGATGAAATACAGTTGGACAGTGACTATTTTCATTTTCATTTGGTGTGTCTGCGTATGTGTGGTTATCAATTGTGTGCACCGATTCAGCATCCTGATGTGGTTATAACAAAAGGGGACGAATTTCAATTCTTATCTCGTCTTTTTTGCATCACATATTTGTTTGTCGTCTGAGTCTTCTTATTCTTACTAGTTTTTCAATGATGTGTATATATATATATATATCGTATGTGTGAGAGAGAGGGAAAAGAGAGAGAGAGAGAGAGAGAGAGAGAGAGAGAGAGAGAGAGAGAGAG